CTCGTAACGCTCGTTCTTTTCAACCTTCTCGTGGCCCTCCTCCGCCTAAAAGGAAACAATAATTTTTAACATACACGGCATGAATGTTTCGTATTTAGCCACGCCACGCCACTAATGTTCATGCTCGCGTTCATGCGGATAGACGTGAGTGAAGTTTATAAAAAACGTGGTAAAAACTACGCATAATATAGAAACAAGGCGCAAGGTTTTCTTCCGCGAATTTCGTACTCGAACGTGCCAGAAATATTTTTGTCGCGTGAGTTTTTCGTTACGTTTTCGAGAAAATTTTCGAGAAGTCAAAAAATTTTAATCACGCGCTCGTTACAAAGAAGAAAAAAAAAAAAAAANNAAAAAAAAAAAAAAAAAAAAGAAAAAAAAAGAAAAGAAAGAAAGAAAGAAAAAAGAAGAACAAATACAAAATGAAACTTTTATGTACTCGAATTAAGATTAATCGGGTAATTTAATAATTCGTTGAAATTTTCGAAAGAGGTGACTCGTTTCTTTAAGAGGAAATATCACGCACCTCTCGACTGAATTTTGCCGCATTCTTCGTCATTTTCCTCGTTCTTTCTCTCTCTCTCTCTCTCTCTCTCCTCGAGTTTTACTTTCCACGAAAGCATTATATCCTCTGGCATTCTTCGCAGTACTTTCTGAAATTCTTTCTCCCTCAGACTTGACACACCTCGAAGATTTGTACGTGGTTGTTTTATGGATATAGATGCACTTTGGTTCTTTCGACTGCTATTTTAAAATTGAAGGATTCCTACTTCTGTCGCGAATGTATTCTCGGCTCTGGCGAAAATGCGAGACAATTTTCCGCGAACCGATATATAATATTTTTTTTCGAGATCTCTTAACAAAATTGAAACAACTATGAATATTTAGATGGAACTGTGAAATTTATCTCAAATAAATTTTGAAGATCGCACAGTTAATGGAAGATCATGAAATATTATTTCTCGTGTTTTATATATATATATTTTTTTTTATTGTAATTAAGGAATATTGAATATATATATTGGCAAAGAACGAAGAGATGTATGCGTTTGTCAAGTAACATCAAGAATAATTTGAATTCGAGATATTTGCTCCATCTCATTAAGAGATAATTAATTACACGAAGTTGGAGAATTTCTGGGGCTCTGGTACAATGTCCTGTTGATTGCACAATTTATTATAACGATACATCATCTATATCGTTAAAGGTGCTTAGAGTGTTAAGAGTGTTAAAATTAAGCAACAAATATCATTAATATAAAAAATTAATTTCGAGATTGTGATATTATAACGAGTTACAATTTTTCGTTTTACCAAGAAATTCCTAAATCGTTAAAAGGTTAATTTATGATCCTAGAACGGCGAAAATTCTAGTTAATTTACAAACTTGTTGCTTTAAGTATCTCACAATTCGTAGTAGCACTTCCAGTGCGGAAACTTCACCTAACTAAATGTAAATGATCGGTATTAAATAACTTTTCGTTATCTTTAACAGAGCCTTCCATAAAATACAATCTAAAGAGAAACGAGTAAATTTGAACTAAATCACAGTCGATTTATTTCAATTTTACTTTGCGAAACTTTTCATTTCCAAATTTTTAATTCTTTGAATAAAAATAACTTTTTAACAAAATCAAGCACATACGTAATTTTCAATTATTCCAAGAAAAAAATAAATAAAAATAAAAAAATAAAGTTTCTCAAAGTTTCGGTAAAATTCACTCGTAATCCACATTTATCATAATTCGCATCATGAAATTTTTATATTAAACTCGACACGTATAAACGAAAATAATATATATACTTCGACCTGGATATACAATTTGAAAAAAAAAAATGTGCAAAAAGTTGCAAGTTAATTTAAAAAAATCGAGTATGTACAATTCTTAATTTTTTTTTCTATCTTCCTCGCCTCCAAAAAAGTCGAACAAACAATTTTCCATTACTTATTTCATTTTCTAAAGTTTCGCTTTAAAATTCGCTCCGTCCATCGAATTTATCTCATTCGAATCGGAAACTTTTACTTCAAGCTCGAGGCGTACAAGCGAATAAAACGTTGGAACGAGTCAACGATACAGTTCGGCCGAAAAACAATGGGAGAAGAGCAATGCAAAGCAGTTACAGGCTTGGTGGAGTAGCAAAACGAGAGTAAAGATGCGGCGAACGGCGAAGATGACGCTGAAAGCTTTTCTTATCTGAATTTCAAGCGCTAGCTTGTGAAGAATGTTGTCCTCCTTGTTCCGGCAAGGGTTTCTCGCGCCACTTTCTCTCTCTCTCTCTCTCTCTCTCTCTCTCTCTCTCTCTCTGCAAGAAAGTTTCGCGATATCGTCGACGACTAATTAAAGCTTGGAATAAGAGGAGGCAATTACCAGAGCGGTTCCATTTAATTTCGTAGGCCGATTTGAGGAAGGAAGGGAGAAGAAGTTGGTCGCGGGACAGCCGTTATACATTTGCATACGCCAAGCGGCCTGATGTACTCGCAGCATTGGGCGTTGAAAAAGTAACCAGTGGTTCAAAAATGTAGCGTAATATTTGCTTCAAATAATTATTTATTAAAATGATGATTGAATAACATTCGTAGCTATTATAATTGATCCAATTTTCATATAAATCGTATGCCAATTACAATTATTTTCGATTATTATTACGTTTTGAACAATAAATTATCGAAATAATTTATCGAAGTAACTTTGTTCGTAACTTTGTTCAACTTATTAAATTTTCTCCATCATTGGATGTATTTCTTCTTATTTCACTTGATGAAACGAAACTTGTATATTTTCTTGGAAACGAAATTTCATATATTGGGTCGTGTAGTTTTTTGTAAGAATTGTAATATTTTTTTAATCGATCTGATATTAGATCAGCTTTTTCTTCTTTTTGTAATATATCAGGTGTAAAAATAAGGTATATAGTTATGATAAAATAGATTCTTTTATTCTTGTTTTGATTGATGATTTGAAAATTTATATCTTGACTTGAAGTTTCGTATATTTACAATTTTCTTTTGCGAATATTGCTTTTTCTAATATTTTTTTTAATCATTCTGACGTTAATTGACACTTTCTCTTACAATAGTTATAAAATTAATTCGATGCTTTTTCGAAATAAATTTTATAAATTCTACAAATCGAAGACTTGTTTACTCTTTTTTTTACAATATATTAGGTATAAAAATTAATTCGTTAGTTTTTTAAAAAAAAATTCAAGAATTATATAAATTTTACAGAATGGTTTTAAATCATATTAAATATTTTAAAATGTTCGTAGTAACTTTTTACTACCTTATTCAGATAACAGAAGGATTGTTATGTCATAAGAAAAAGAATTTATGCAACGAATGCGGAAAGAAACTTTGATGCACATTTTTTTTTCTTTTTTTTTTTTTTTTTTTGAGTGCTCTTGAACTTTGCGCGAACTAAGACACGTTTCCAGGAAGAATTGTATTCTAGGTTATAGATACAGTTGTTAAACTGACACTGATATTTTTCTTTCTTTAAAGTACAGAGATAATTTTATCATTTAAAAGTAATGGAATCTTTTATTTTAAAATAGGATTTCGAAATACTATATTATCGTGTATTTAAATTGTAAAGACAAACATTTAAATTTTATTTATTTCGTAAACTGTGTGTAAATTTATTATTATATCATTGCATGGATATTAAGATTTATATTTTGAGATTGAATAAAATTTATCAAATGATTCACCCAAATTTTCAAACGACGAAGTTTTAAAGTGATTTCGAAACTTGAATAAAGACAAAGATAATGAATATTATGGTTCGTTCAACACTGACGTCATTTGAAGTTATTTTGTGTAATTAGAAATATAACGTGCCTCTCCTTCAGCCACATTCTTGTTCCTTGAAAACATGTTTGTCATCTAGTTAAATAGCGATAATTATCATTCAAAATTTTTATTTTTATTTCTAACCTAAATATTTATAATTAATCTCGTATAATCGAGAAACGATTTAATATTTATTTTAAATTTAAGTTAAAAAAAAAAATTAAAAAGTAGATATATTTACATTGTGATATAAATTTTATGTGAAAAAGATATCTTAAACTATAAACATACTATAAAAATACGTGATATACATACGCGAAAAACTTTATCGATAAATTAAATATTATATTTATAACAATATGTTTCACGTAATACGAACACATTATTTCATCGAATTAGATAAATTGAATTAGAGACAAATTTACCATTAAGTATAAAAATTAAAGATTAAAGATAGATCGTATAATTTAATTGGATCTTGAAACTTTAGGCAATAATTCAAAAACATTATATTGAATTAGATCCTTGGAAACGATATTTCAATTAATTTCAAACGTCTGAAAATTACGATGAAACAAATTGTAACATTTGATATCCTCGAGAGAGAAAAGAGGATTATTTTTCATACACTGTCTGAGTAATTTTACAAACAATATTGCATCGACAATTTGGAAATCGGTATTATATTTTTCAATTGAACTCAGCGTGGGAATGTGAGCGCCAATGGTGGATTCTTTTCCATTTCTCCATTCAATTCCTTCCTTTTCAACCAGCCATTCTTGTCTCTCTCTGGCGCATTTCTTAATAATGAACCACTTTAATCCAGCGCACCAGAAAATACCAGCCTCTTGTATCTCTAAATCTCGTGAGTGTGTTAACGAAACGAGATGATTAATCAGTTATTAGAGATAATTAATCAATACCGCGATATAATTCGATAATCTTTCATATCAATACTTTCAGTGTTGTATCAATTTATAACACTGATTTCTAATAATTTAAAAATAAATCCCCTTTTTCTTCTTAGATAATACTATCACGAATATTATTACGAAATAAATTTCCCTCATATCTGTAACAAACATAAATCCAAAGAAAAACTTATTAAACAAGTTATTCAAAAATATTGTTTTCTCATCATAAATATAGAAGTTTATTGGCAATTTATTTAATCAGCAACATCGCTAATGCACGTTAAGATTTTTATCAAATTTTTATCATTTTAATCGGCTGATCGATATTTCGTTCCTGATAATTTCGATCTTCAATCATTCAAAATTATTGGTAATTACTCTTACGACAAGAAGAGACAGAAAAGACAGAAAATTAGAGAGACAGAAAATTCACGCTGGACTATTAGAGGAGAGACGAACGAGAAGTCAGTTCCAAAAATACGAGTGGAAAGGTTGTTTGACGTCATGTGACATAGACGCGTTGTGTTGTGCGTGCGAACTCCATAAAGCGGTCTACACAATCTAGAAACGCGCGAACGATCTAGAAACTTGCATCACGATCCTCGTGATGTGCAAATGATATATATCGATTTTAGCATCCATTGAAAACCATTCTGATGTTGTTATCTGCATCGCGAAACCAGATATCTATATCGTTGGCATCATCTGTTCCATTGTGCGGGCCGCTTAACTGATGTTGTAGACGTGTTGGAAAGGGAAAATAATTTGGCAGTCATCGGTCATCATTAGAGAGAAACGTTTGGAAACGTTTTGAAACCATTTCATTGGTGAATAAATTAAAAGTTATTCGTGCAAGTGTGTGTTCGTTTATTACGAATTACATATACAAATAACATTTGTTTGCTTGAATAATATTTATGTAAATTTATGTAAAAATTTAATACGTTTTTTATGTACAAATTTCATATAAGAATCTTATAATTTGATAATTAATAGATTTAATTGTGTATACGTTGTTTTATCTCAAGTATTGAAAAAGTATGTATAAGAATATAGATAATGGAACGATTAGCGACAGAAAAAAATAACGATACAATGATAATATAATTACGATTTATCGTTGTATTACGATTCACCGAATATTTTATCGCGCAATATATTAACGTTTAAAATATTATTATTCAGTTATATTTTATTTTACTTTTAAACAAGTTCGACCTTAAGTCGATATATATATATATATCTCTTCTCTTATTTAATCTTTGTCGAAATGAAGTTCCTATTTGCGATTATAACGATTGCTTGTGCGATGTACGATGATGCCAGTGGTGCCAGAATTTTGATGATAACTCCGCATCAAGCGAAAAGTCATTACATAGTATACGAGGCGTTGCTGAAGAGACTTGCGGAAAGGGGTCACCAAGTGGTGTCGTTCAACCATTTTCCTCAGAAAACAGTTTTACCTAATTTCACGGATGTAGATATATCTTCAAGCATGCCATACGTGGTCGGTACAAAGTCGATCAAGATTGCCTTTCAGGAAACCATGTTGCAAAAATTGGGATTGATATCCCGTATAAGCTTATCAACGTGTCAATCCGTATTGGAACATCCGGAATTGAAGAAATTTCTGCATTCGAAGGAGAAGTTCGATGTGTACATCATGGAAATCTTCCTTTCCGACTGTTTTATCGGTATCGGCCATGCTCTCAAAATACCAATTGTGGTTGGAATAAGTAGCACCATGCCTTATCCATGGACGAACGGGATTCTTAGGAATCCTGAAAACCCTAGTTACATTCCTAACATGGTTTTAAGTAATTTTTCGGACGAGATGAATTTCTTCGAGAGGGCCACCAATTTGATGTACCTTTTCATCAGCAAACTCGCCTATAGGTATGTCAAAGTAATCGAAAGTTTTTTTTCTTCCTTTCTTCTAAATCCTAAATCGCTTGTCCAATCATCAATCGTTCTCACCTCACACGCGAAATTTCCTTGGCGAAATCTTAGATCCTTTGGAAAATATTTATATTTTACCAACGAAGCGTCGGTTCATTGTTACTTAATTTTAATTCAAATATCTTGTGAAAAAATTCTCACGACACAAAGATCCAAGCTCGTCGATTGCTCGTCCAATCGCTTCCTTCCACTTCCAAATGAGCCTATTTACCCTCAATCATGGGTATAATATCCAAACTCATTAAGATCCGATTCTCATCATAAACCGTTCGATGGCAAATGGCGGACTAATTGCCTGTGACGGTCTATCTAAATTCTCTGTTGGTCTACAGCTATAGAACAGATCCATTAGATCTCCATTCAAATTTTCCAAATTTATAATACAAGGTAAATTGGATACAGATGTTCGTGAGATAATTACATTTGCTTGATTTTACAACAGACTTATTCGTCGAGTTTACGCAAGCAATTTAAACTTCCAAAAGATTTTATATATCACAATATTCAATATATATACATATATACATCAACCAATCATCCAATTCGCCTTGTACTCGATTGATTAATTTCGATCGATAAATTTTTCGATTCGATTTCCTCCTCAGGTACCTAGCGGACAGGCCAGGTTACGAGATCGCGAAAAAATACTTCGGCGACGATCTTCCGGACTTGGACACGTTACGATCTAGGATATCATTGATACTGACGAATGGGCACAGGGCAGTGAACACGCCACGAGCCCTTGCGCCAGGACTTAAAGAGCTGGGCGGTATGCACATACCAGCGTCGGGCCCGCCCCCGTTGCCCAAAGATCTTAAGGATTTTCTCGACTCGAGCGAGAACGGGGTCATTTACTTTGGCTTGGGATCGCAAATAAACATATCCACCATGCCCAACGAGATGTTAATGTCTTTCTACGAGGCGTTCGAGCGGGTACCGCAACGGATATTGTGGAAGTGCACCGAGAGCAATATGCCCAAGCTGCCCAAAAAAGTTAAGTCCATCGAATGGGCGCCCCAGCTCTCCATATTGTGTACGTATATACATTCTTTTTCCTTTCTGTGTATATGTGTGTGTATGTGTGTGTATAGGTGTGTGGCACGTGGCGGCGAGTTTAACCGCTAGAAAGGATATTATTCTGTTACTGTGAAAAAAAGAAAAAAGAAAAAGTATTAGTGAAAAAGTTGCACACGTTTTTATGCTTCCGGATGTTTGTTTGGTAAATTTTTAAATGAACAGTCTTTTTTCTTCGATAAAGATATTCGAATGTCAAACGTTGGTAACGAAGGAGGGAATTATCTATGTAATTGCGGTTTAATAGGTGAACAAAATTGTTTTGTAGATTGGGTTAAATACTATGGAAGATAAGAAGTATTTACTTTAAATATATTTTAAATATATTCATTCAAGAATATTAAGATACTTCAAAAAACATTAAATTCAATGTCGAATGAGTCAATGGATAAATGTGATTCGCTGTTTGATAATTGGTTACAACGTTACGGATATTTATACAATTCGATTGATGGTAAATGTTTTAATTCGTATAATAGTTTAATCTTTCCCTCAATCATCGTCGTGTGTATCGTATATACACGACGCTCGTATCGTTAGGGCAATATTATATTCTCGCGTGTAATCGACGATCCCATCTATGATTCAAGATATCGAGCCCCGAAATCGCATAAAATTGCATATTTAAATTATGCATTAATGTTAAATAACTTATAGACCAATTTTCCCGAATATCATTACCCTTCGTTATACATATTGTACGCCGCTTATTGTCAATAATCCTGTTCCGCGCAATCAGATATAACCATCGGTTTATTTTGTAATAATAATGCACGATATTCGTGCATTTTAGCTCTAATTTTAGTTCTAAAGTTTGATACATGCATTGTATTAAATACAGATTTGATTTAAATTTTATTTAAAATGGAATTTAAATCGAGCCACGGGAAGAGAAAGAAAATGGAGATTAAGTTTATATTGAAATATTGGAAAAATGGAATATGTACAAAATTTCATTAAAAAAAAATTACATAATAATAATAATACGATCGAATTCAAATGATCGATTCAAGATATATTTAAATCATTATGCGTGTTATATTTAACTCTTCGTTCGTTTATCTTTCTAAACTTTTTCCTTTTTGCATTATCGATACAATGTGTATATATAGTTTTAAAACGTATTTTACAAAAGGTATCCTTTATACGGAAGCGAATTAATCCCTGAACCTTGAAAAATCAGGTTAAGTGCACCACTGTTGTCGAGAAACAAATCTGAAAAAACAACTTGAAACTTTATTCCCTCCGAGATTTTCTCTCGAAAATTAGCTACTTCCCTGTACGAAGGAACTAGACCTTAAACAGACGGAATAATTACAATTTCTTTTTTTTTTTAATTTTAAATGTTCAAAAAATGTTAAAAAGTTGTCAAAGATTATTATTTTATTATTATTTATTTCTTTGCGAAATAAAAATCTGTTTCAATCAAGACTCGTCGAGTGAATTTATTTAATAGGCGATGATGTCGCCACATCATTCTACAAACGCATCACATTTGAGACATTATATATATAAAGAGAGAGAGATCATATACGATTCAGAATTTATTACATCGTAAATAGGGAGCAAGTTATATAGGAGTGGATGAATAATGTGCGAATTAGGGCAGGATTAAATTTAGGCCAGGTCTAGGTTAAATCTTGGGATGGATCCAAACGTTGTACACGCGTTACCTGCACGCGTTCCATTTCGTATGCCGTTAGCAATCAGATCGCTTTGTATGCAAACAATCGTTGTTCCACTAATTGATTTATATTCACAAACGAAATTCGATGAATTGTTGACAAATTCGTTCATTATTATTAATTCCTCGTTAAATTGATTTTGCCGGAGGATTTACATATGTAAAAAAAAAAAAAAAAAAAAAAAAAATATTTAAATTACAATGTTTATACATTTACGAAAAATGAAAACGTTCGCAAATCTATGAGAATGCGAACACAATGATGTAAAATATCGAAAGCAAAATATATAAGATCCGTGTAAACGTTTCATGAAAGAAAAATACAAAATTCGAAGGAAGCAATAATAATTAAATAATAATTAACATTAAATCACTTAACAATTCGAATTTTATATTTTTGCTTATAATTTTTTAATTAAATAAAACCTATATATTTATATAACATTTTATTGTCTTATTTAGACTCATGGAATTGATATAATAGCAATATTTAAAAATCAGTGAAACAGATCTTTATTTTTATATTATTCATTCATATTATTCATATTAAAATTTAAATTTCCATAAACATTTAATTACAAGTATAATATTCTCGTCATTCGTCGCGAAAATAAAGAAATATTAAAATAATAAAATTACCTTAGACGCGATTCGCATTTTAACTTTATCGATTTGAAAATGACCAGGTCACCCGAATGTGCGGCTATTTATCTCGCACGGTGGAATGCTGAGCTCTCAAGAGGCGGTTTATTGCGGGGTACCGATTCTCGGCATACCCCTGTACGGGGATCAACACCTGAACCTGGCCTACTTCGTGAAAAGGGGGTTCGCTCTGAAACTGGATTACCATCAACTTTCATACGAGCCGACGATATCAAACGCTTTGAACGAACTGCTCCTGAACAACAGGTAATTAGAATCTTCGTTCTTCGTGCAAATGGAAATTGCGTGGTTCGTATATAACGTAGATATAGAGATGAAAGAACATCGAAACAGAAAAGGAGAGAGAGAGAGAGAGAAAGAGCGAGAAGCTTCCATAGCTCTCTTTCATTATCCATCTATATTTGGCGAGCAATACCGCCGAATTAACCGGGCAATGAATTTTTAATGACAATTTAAAACAATCATCGCATTTCATAGTACTCGCGTTATACTGCTGTCGGTAATTTTAAAATTACTACCTTCGATACGTATATACCTTCCAATTTACCAAATTTATAAATATTATTCTAAAATAATATTCTAAGAAAATAATCCGTTATTCACCTTGATTCAGCTCGAGATTACAATTACACGTTCGTATTAATACACAGCGAGTAACACTCGGGAATAAACGTTTTTGCGTTACAATCGTATCGGCAGAGTCCATTTGGCGGATGACAATCGGTCGATGATAAACGGGCCACCAACGAGCGCTCAATTTCATTGTCGATTTTCGAATCGATCGCGCGTTAATTATCGCCCGATCCCCATCCTCCCGTCCATTAACCGTTCCCATCGCGCGATGGATCATTGTTAACGATCAGAAACGCGGTCACGCGAGCCGGGAGCGTCTTAATCATTGAAACGGCGAACGGAAAATGGACGATTGAAAATTTGATCGATTCGTCCTCTGCGATATATATAATCCCCACTCCTAGTTAAATTTGTATCCGGCAGTTGATTGAAAATCGTTGGCTCCTTAAATCCGAGTTGTCGTGGTTAGATTACGTGTATAGCTTGGAATGTTTTGAAGGAGAAGTCGTTTCGAGGAAATTGTTCGAATCCTTACGTTTGATCTCGTCGAGAGCTTTTTAATTAGCATTGGTTGTCGATTGGGGCAAAATTGGATTCGATGGAAAGAATTTTTTTTGGAAGGGAGGAGGAGGAAAGATTATTTCGAATGTTTTGAATGTTATAATTGTATTAATTGATTTGTTAATTTGATTAATTGATTAATTCGCGTGATTCACAGTTACAAGGATATGGCGAGGAAAGCCTCTTTCGAGTTCAGGGATCGACTGATACCACCATTGGACGAGGGAGTTTATTGGATAGAGTATTTACTTCGCCATGGGCCGGATTCATTGAGGACAACGGCAACGAATTTAACTTGGTATCAATATTTATTGCTGGACGTTATACTCGCGATAATAATTTCAATCGCGTTGGCGGTATTCATCGTTTACAAATTATTTAAATTATTAATTTGGAATGGAAGAATGACGATAGATGTTAATAAGAAACGATCGTGAAGAAAGATCCTATTGCGAAATATTGTAAGAAGTTGTTAAGTTTTGATTAATTAAAAAAAGAATTCCCTGTAGAAATTATCTTCTTTATATTTATTCTTATTTTCCTAATACGTAATAATAATACGTTTCTTATGTAGTTTATGTGTTTTGTATAATACGTATAATAAATGTAATAAGTCGTTTAAAAATATTTAGAAACATTTTTTTTTTTTTTGCGTCATTCATCTAAGATATTACCAATAGCGTAGGAGCTAGAACGCTATGCTTCAAAAATGCTTTTAAAAGCCTCGGAAACTCGCTCGTTTTCTTATAAAATATTTGACAAAACGCTTTATACGAAATTGAAGCAACAACTTACGGAAGCGTGTATCCTTAAAAAAGACACTTTTTTCAAGATGACAATAAAATTTTAACGCTCTATTATTAATGTCAGAATTCAAATAATGACAAAGGGATCATAGATATGGCTGCACAATGCAATAATTGAAATTATAAATCAAATATTAGCGAAAGAAATTATTTAAAAATTTTTATTTATTTAAAATCATTATCATTATCATGGAGATTCGATTCACTGCATACGAATAATCTTGCGGCTATACATGTAGAGACGTTTTCCTTTTTTTCTTTTTTCTTCTTTTTCAAATACAACCTCGGCTTTAAAAATTCAGACGCGTTAACAAAGAAAGGAGAACGTCGCCCGTATCAGTTATAAGTGGCATCTTACACGACGAAAAGAAGCTTTTGCATATTCCAGCGTTATATCACTCGCGCTTTATTATGAATGCACGAACGTGGAGTGGCGAAACAGGAAGCCGGAAAAGTCAGCCGCGTATCCCTCTGAAAGAACGAAAGCGTAAAGTTATAAATTGGGGGGAGGGAGGGAGGGAGGGGGTGGTTCGTGTCTTTTTCGTCGACCCCGAATACAATCCAATAAAGTGTTTTCCATTGTGGAATAAAACATGTCCAAATGCAACAAACATGTCGTGTATAATTAATTCAATCAAATTCTTTCGTCTCCTTTTTTTAATTTCGTAATTCGATGTAATTATTCTTTTCGAAAAAAATTTTCTTTTCCTTTCAACGAAGACTGTGATGAGTAGTATTAAAAATAATAATTGTTTTTTAAATAATTTATAATAAATTCAATTTATATTTGAATTGATATCGAGTACAATTAGCGCCAATTAAATTGTGAAACATCATTAATTTGGATGAAGAGTATGGTTTTTGATTTACTTTCCAGCCTTGATTCGAATTAAGTTTATATCGTTAAGTTAAAATACACATTCTTTGCTCTTCTCTCTGTTGGAATTATATTAAAAAAGAAAAGAGCATGGAAGTTTTTTTTAAATATTATTTTCGCACAAAGCGAAAGGTTCTTTTTTGATATCCCTTTTTTTTCCCCTGTCAAACAAACATTAAAAAGGGAACGTTTTACATTTGAACTTTCAATGTTTTTCTCTTGCTATACGTCAATTACTTTCAGGTAACGTTTGTTTCAGGCATCGCTTTGGAAAACATGTGTATATATATATATATATATATACTCGATTGTGTAACAATTAATAAATATTAAATTGAATGTATAAAAGAAGGAGGCAAGGAAAATATCCAGAGAAATGAATGATCCTTTCCGCTTTGACAGACCTCCTATTATAAAAAATGTTAAAATTCTTCTATCGCCAACCTCATAGAAAGGTAATCAAAGAGGCTGGGAGAAGTTCGCATTGAAATAATTTATTGTAGCGAAGAATCGCTTTGAAAGATGGAACTAAGAAAAGTGAGGGAAAGAAGAGACTCGTGCCAAGGTTTTATAAACCATTATAATTTTTCTTTGGACCGGTACAATTCTCTTCCATCCTTTCCAAGCAATTTTTAAAATGGAACAAATTTTAATTGTGCAGCAATTGCGAAGAATCGAAAATTCATTTACGTGTGAATGAATATAAAACGTCTCACGCCCACACTGGATCGACGATTCATATTCTAAATTCACTCGCACCAATGAATATCAGATAATATAAATTTATATTGCAAAAGAATAAATTCATCTTTGTATCTTTGATACGCAATCACGTAACGCTTCTTCATAATCTCGATCTTAACCTAAGCCTGATGATCCCAACGAATGCCATTTCAATTGAGAAAGAAGAATACACGAGAGACGTTACTTTTTGTCGAACTAATCAGTTTACGGACAGATAGATAACTAGACGAGTTTCCGCGCTCATTAGCTCTCGTTCTATGGTCCTTCTTCTTTCTCATTGTTTCACGACAACAAGAAACAACAGGAAGAGGATAGGCTGTTACCGTCTAACGAGCCTCGTTGCACTCCTCTCCTCCCCCCTTCCTCTCTGTGAAAAAGCGTTTATGTTCAGTTCAGTTCCGTTTGAACATCGGGGAGAAACGTTCCATCCATTTCGCGAACAATACCGCGAGTGGGAAGAAAAAAACTTTCGCATCGTGCATCTTCATCGTGGCAACTTTTTCAATTCGAGTTGAGGGGGCAGCGAGGAGACGAACTTTGTCATTTCTGAAAATCTTCTTTCCGGATCAAAATGATTCCGAGTTTATCTGAGCGGATATTTTTTTTTTTTTCCTTTTTTCGTAGTAATATAATAAATATTCTACCCCTGATCGATGATCTCATCTCTTCCAATCTTCTCGAACAATTCGATCGCATCTCATTTCACTGTCAATACGATACTGGTTGAAAAAAAAAGAAACGATATATTTAACCTATATGGAAATTTAGGTTAAAAATTGATGCTGGTGGTAAGAAAATAGTGGTGGAGCTTCCACCATGGTTTCGAAATTGTTTGAACGTTATATGAAACATGGAGCCCTTCCTATACGAGAGGTTTTTATCTTTTTCTCTCTCGAATTTAATTAAAGAAAAAAAAAAAAAAATGACGCGTAATAATTTATTGAGATGAATTTCATTCACGAGTCGCAAAATATTTTCGATCGTTCCAATCGTTCGTTGTTGAAATATATAATAACATCGAATCGAGAATCCTGAAATTTATTTACAATTGTCTCGTTGTAAATTTGTAGGACGATTGCTCGTACGTGTGGCAAATATCTGCTGAAAATCGTTGTAATTGGGTGAGAGAAACCAGAGATTGCCGGACAGATTCTTTAATTCAATATACGGAAATATTGTTTTGTACTTTTACCTCGGAGAACAAACCTTTGTTCGTTTTTGGACTGATATTGATGGTTATATGGCTTTTATATTTGTTCTTCATTTTGGGAACATCGGCAGACAATTTGTAAGTAAAATAATTTAATCCATCGATTAAACATTTCTTAATTCTGATTAAAACAACTTGCTTAGATTAGAAATCATTTTTTTAAAAAGTTCAAATGTTATTACATTTAATATTTCTTCAAATACTTTAAAAATTTCTCCAATCACTCAAAATTCTGATCAATTTCTAATTTTTCCAACATCATTTTTACACTTAGTCGTCTAATTAACTAACTTTCTCCTTTCGGAAAAACTAAAATTGTTCGATTATAAAAAAAATTACTCTTAAAGAATGATCAAGCATTTTTTTTTTACTTTTGTAATTTTATGCATCGCATATACTTCTACACTTTTTTCATCACATTCATCGCAGTTGTTAATATCGTTTGTTTTTACAACGATGAATCGTACTCACCCGTAGCATTGAAAACAGAAGGGAAGAAAATCGCGAAATCATGGTTAAAATAAAACGGTTACGGGGATGAATAAAATTTCTATGATTTTCCATAAAAGGCGCGCGACACCGATGGGGGTAAGGGTGACGCGGTAAAGTCTTTCACGGCGCATTGTGCTCGGGTGTAAAGGGTGAGTTATGGGTCATCGTGTGCGTGCGAATCCGACACATTCTCACGTGGGAAGCGATTCAATTTTAATCCGAACGGCCAAAGGGGAGCTTTATGCCGCGTCATTAAAAAAGAAACGATCCACGCGGTCGCTCGCCACTTTCCGCCTCGATAAAACTCGAGCATGTAGCCAATAATGATCCTTGGATGTCGCCGTACATAACTGAAATGCGGCGTAAGCAGTTACAATCTGTTACCTATCTCTGTGAATGTTCAATAGGTGTAACCGTGATAATACCGAACGTACGACGCAATGGACCGAAAACAATGTGGCGTGAAAAGGGTTGAGAAATGATATGGCGTTTCATCAAGAGATTCTATTCATATAGAGATCGCAATAAAATTGTCACGTGAAACGTGGAATTTACAATCTATCATTTTACAATCTATTCATTGATTCGAGATAATAATAGAATTATTATATGAAGTATAGAATTATAATTAATATTGGAATGTAGAATATTAGAAATATAAAATTATAAAAATATTTAACATCAAATCCGACATCAAAACGACGGATTTCGTGTTTTTCGTTCTACGATTATTGAAAACGTGGAAATATTTTCGACAAAATTGATATTGTAATTTATTGTTAAATAATATTTGACATATATTTATTTCCACATTGCTTTAATCATTTCAAAAATAAATAAATACTTACAATTAAATTAACGTTAAATAGATAAAGAAAAAATATATTTCGGATAATTTAGAATAATTTTTTTAAATCACGGTATAAATAAGAGCATCGTTGGAGGAAAATAGATAATCTCTCATATACGAACGAATATCACATGGAAACAATTAAATTCAATATCTCTTTCCAACCAATGCATCCTTCGCGACCCAGAAAAGGAATTAATTCCGAATTCGCTATCCAATATCCTTGTCCCGCGTCAAATTACCCGCCACACCTTCCACCCTCTTCCCCCTTTCAAGCACGCGGCTAAACGGGGGCCAAATAAACCCTAATTCATTTAGCATGGCGAACAGCTGTATTTAGAAACGCGGCCACATCGAAATTCGATTCGCGATCAAGGAGAGCGTGTATACGTACACGGAAATAAAATGGCGAGGAGCGAAAATACCGGGCGGATGTTGTCGATGGCGAAGAGCAACGTCGATGCTCCCCGTACGGAAATCAAATATCGGGAGTCGTAAATTAATCGTTATTTCCTTCCACCCTCTTTTTTCGT